CATAAATATTCAGCTGAATAGTATTAGCTTATTGCCCACATTAAACATTACAGTGCTTAGGATGAACCAGGCAAGGCTCACCAGCAAAATGGAATATTTTGGGGTGCAGGGCAGGGGTGGTGCTGGGGTGTTTAAATGATTCTCAAAGTGGTCAAATGCCAGAAATGGTCCCCTGTGCATCTCTGCGCCCCTGTAATTTTCAATATACCATGTAACACAGCATTTACTACCACACAGCCACACTACAGTTTAAAAAATACAAACCAATACTGGATGGCAACCTGTTATTTTCATAGTTACAACTCTACAAAAAAATACATCCATTTTAATGCAACGTAGGGATTAGCTATAAGCAGCTATCTTGAATCTGTTCCGACAATTAAAGGTGAATGAGTTTTAGCATTAAGACTACACCTTGCAATGAAGAATAGGGGACCTTAGCAGAAGGCATATAAACTGACATTTGCACAGCACTTAAACAAACACATGAATTACAGAGCAAGTTCAATTGTGTAAAAGTTCCCTAATAAAAACCCCACCAAAAATAAACTACTTAAGAGCAAAAGAGATTTGGGGGTGGAGGAACATGAGTCAGTAGAAGGACTTCTAAAATGAGAAAGTGGTTTTAAAAACATGAAAATAGAAAAGCTGTTCCAATGAGTAATAAATACTAAATTCCTTTCTCAGACAGGAAGAAACAGTTCTGTATTTTGGGAATCACTGAAAGAAACTGAATGTGAAACTGCCCCGGCTTTACTTTGAGTTACAAGTGTGAAAATGCCAATTTTAAATAAGTTTCTTTGGAAAGATATACAGATTAGAATTTAATGAATCTAGACTGTAAAGAAATTAAAAAGATCACAGAGCTTGAATAACTATAATGAATTATAAAAAACCAAAATCAATTCCAGAAAAGCAAGGTTATAAAATATTCTCTCTCACTCTAGGCACAAAAAACTCTATAAAATTAATTAAAGCATGAAATAAAAATTAAAAGACTGGAGAAACATATCTTTATCCAGGTGAAGAAAGAGAAGGAAATAAGTCTGAGGACATTTCTTTATAAAAATTGTAACAAGAGAGCAGCTGTGAAAGCTAAATTCACGCTAAATAAAAGAAATCAGTGTTTACCCTCTCCCTCCTCTAAACTAAACCAGAGATACCCAGGGAAGATACAAGTAATTGATTACACTATAGAATTATTTTGTCATCAATCTACAGTTAAACTTGCAGTGCCCTGAGATTCAGATAAGAAGGAACAGTGAAATAACTGTTATCGGAGAACTTTCTCACAAACCCATTCTCAACGATGTTAAAGGGTCACTGGTAAAACTCAGAAATAATAGAAAAAGGTGCAGCAGCTCACCTACAACCTTGGATCCAAGGCTTTGTCTGCATAGCTCCTTCCTTATCTTCTTTCTACCCAAAATCATGGCATGCCCACAATCAACACGTTTATCAGAGTGACACATATCCTTCCTCAAGCTGATACATTTACTAGAAATTAAAATGTTCTTAGAATTCTTAAATAATAACTTAATAGTGAGTTCACATCCTTTTACCTTCGGGCTTTGCAAATGCTAATTTAAATGCTGGTTCAAAATGCCTGGCTCTAGTTGTTAGAAGTCAGCACATGTGCACTAAAAACGCTTCATTTACACCCAAACCTGGCCCAGGCTTCTCCTGTGAAGACCCATTGTAGCACACTGGGAAAGAGCTCTGTTCTTCCCACTGACCGTCCACTCCATCTGCCCTCTTCCTCCTAAAACTCGTGCTGTAGTGTTCTGCAGAAAGCATGCCACACATTTTGGGGAGCCTCTGCATCTTCTCAAAGCTCTGGGCAGAGCTAAAGGAGGCAACTCTCCTGAGTTTCAGCATCCTGTCATCACCAAAGGGGATGAGTGAGTCCATCCAGTAGGGATTTCTACAGCCAAGAACCGATGAAGCAGTGTCTGAACATGCTTCCTAGACTGTGAGACCAACTGGAAAATATTTATCCAGATTTTTTTTTCTTTTCTTTTTGAAATACCACTTCCCTCTTCAAGTTGCCAGAAAAACAACTGATCCGCTTTTGGGAGGTAACCATTTCTTGAAGAAGGGAAGTGCTCTTCCCTAGGGTTACAAAGATCGGTAGCAAACTCCACCAATCGCTACACAAACCCATGCAGGTGACCCAGCCTCTGAGATTCTGGGGCAGAGATGAAGCAGAACACAAGAGGCCAGGCAAGCGTTGGAAGGAAGGTAATATTTTTAAAAGCTGACAATCTGAAAGTATTTCAGAAGAAAGTGGAAATACTTTTAGTGAAGTGAACTACTGGACATAAAGGGCTTGGCTCCTTAGACAGAAGGGAGACAGAAAGCATGCCTCCAGGTTCTCTTGGTTGAACTCCGAAGTATGCCTCTCCCAGTGCGTATTTAACAACATAGAAGAGATTTGGGTTTGGGTCACAGTGACAAGAATTTCTGTCCAAACAGGTATCTCCTTGGAGACTTTCAGTCAAGCTCTTCACAGTTAAACTGTTTGCATTCCTGGGAGAAACCCCTTGTCGCATACCATCTCGTGGATAGTAAACTGTCTGGGCAGACCACAGACTTCAGTTGCCTGACGAGTCCCAAATTCTGCCTCTCTTGGAGAAGAAAACAGAATTCACTCCCTGAAAATTTGATCACTTCTGAGCATCTAGACTGCAGCTGAGAACACAGCAGACTAGTAATTTTTCTCTTACCCCTTTTGTCTTCAAGTTACCTCCCTCAGAGCCAAGATCTAAACCCCAGGAGCTCACAATCTTTGTCACCATTACTCATCCTGTAGTACTGCATGGGGACTCTACCCAGCAGCTCCAGCAAACTCTGGCAAGAGCAGATCTTCTTTTTAAGCAAAAATAAAACCAGTGACAAGCAATTAGTTGTCCTATGGCTATATATGCCACACAGCAGCATGTCTTACAGGGTGAACTAGTTCTCTTAAACCTAAGCTGTTGTCTGCTTGAAGAACAGAGGCTGAATTTGAGAAGGCAAAGGCTGAAAAGAAACTCCACGGAGGTGTCCATCACATCTAAAGCAGCCCAAGCAGGACCTGGCTGTTTCAGGTGATTTTGTGGGTGACTGCATCAACCATGTTCCCCCAAACACCTTCCCGGCTACAACCTCCCCCCCTCAAGAGAGTTTGACGTTTCATCAAGTCCCATTGTTTTTCTCTCAGTTCCTGAACTGCGACTCTCTTTGCAAAACCAGTTTTGGCAGGCTCAGACAGAGTTTTATCCGACCCTGAAGAGCCAAAAGGCTCTATCTTTGTCCTATAGCTGACATGAAGTATTTACTAAGCGGTGGCTTTGCACAAATAATCCTTTTCCTCTGTTTACTTTTCATGCTACTAAAAGCAAAGCATTCCAATAACCTCGTCGAGTGACAATACTTACAAATTATGAGAGAACCATTCGGTACTGAAGTGCACCAGAACAAAGGAAAAAAAAAATTAACTACAGAATGCTCTGCCCTTCATATACAGCAAGATTTTGATCCAAAATGCTTATATCACATAGAATACCTTCCCAAAATAGCCCGCTGACCTATATATTGGTGGGCAGAAGAGACCAAACAAAAAAACTGTCCCAAGCAGTCTGCAATAGTAATTCAGTCTCCCAAGAGGTCTTAACAACAGCGTGAGCCTGCAGTAAAATCTTTGTTTCTAATGTGAATGACTAGAGAGAAGGTAATTCAGTCTCCCAAGAGGTCTTAACAACAGCATGAGCCTGCAGTAGAAATCTTTGTTTCTAATGTGAATGACTAGAGAGGAGAGAAAAAAACCAAACCAACCAACCCCTTAACAAGAAGCCTTCAACAGAAAGAAAAAAAAAAAAAAAAAAAAAAGTTGTTCTATTAATTCTTTTTCCCTCCCCATGTATTCCATGCAATTTAACAAGCATTATCACTAGGTTTGAACAGCTATAGTCTTTCTCAGTTATTTCTTCTTTTTGGCCATTTGTTTTTGTTTTAAAGCAATGTGACTACTTCCAGTAGTAAACAAGCCTGTAAGGGACATTCCACCATGACTGAAAACCCCTGTCGACAGAGCATATTCTTCTTTCACTACTACTACTAAGCTGTTTTTTCTAAATACTGATGACTTGTCCAGCAGTCTCAACTGGATCCAGATGTTATCAGGCTTTTAATATGAGAATCTGGAGGACTCTGGAAAGCGCTGAGGTTTTAGGGAGAAGGAAGGTTTATTTTTGCTTTTATTACAAATTTAAACTTGGGGGTTTTTTGTTTAGTTTTTTTTTTTTTTTTAAAGTCTCATCAGTTACTTGGTTCAGGCGGGGTAGCCCACTAGAAACTCACAGGAGAGACCAAGAGAACAGAAGGCAAAATTTCTCTCCTTTACCCCTGTTGTTTTTTTTTCCTGCTTTATGAATGTTATCAGCAGGGCAGATTTAAATGAAATCTCAGACTAGCATCTTGCTGACCTTAATCCCAGCTGGCTAAACCTTTGCAACATTGCTGTCCTTGGCATTTATCAGTGAGCAGACATAATTTTAGCTGGTTGATTACAAAACTGTGAATCTGGTATGAGGAACTAGATCCGTTCCACTGTCTTAAACATGGTTTAAAAGACAGCTTAATTTCTCTCTCTCCCTAGTACAGCAGAAGGCTTGATATCTCAGTTGGGGGTACTACAATGCTGCAGAGGCTACCATGCTTGCAGGACTGCATATACCACACACATGGGGTGCATCTGAGATAGAAATACTACTGCTTCCACCAGATGATGCTTGTTTTAAAGGGACCTCCAAAATTTAAAGCACACACCAAAACATCTCACACCACTTCCTTATCAGGAAAGGCCCTTTTTGAGTTGCTTCGAGTTGCCAATGTCATATTAATAAAACTAAGCAAAAAAACCCCAGTTTAAACAACTATCGTATGTCCCAAAGAATGTCTTGCTACACTCACCTGTTACACAAACAGAAGTAGAACAAAACAAAAGTGAGGTTCATTACCTGTACTCAAATCAATTTGATTATCGTTTGTCTTCCTTTCATTTACTGACTCACTGCCAGGCTCCCCTTTTCGACTCATTATCTTTGAGAAGCCACTTGAGAGAGAGGAGAAAATGCCACGGATGAAATAGCCCTGCTGTTCAGAGTCCACCGAACGCACGGCTTGCAGAAATGGCTTTGCATTCCTGTTTCCAATGTGTGGCACGGGTTCAGACAGAGAGCGGTTGAAGGGAACCCGAAACGGTCTAGTCCTTGCCTGGAACAGCATCTCTGTTGCGTCTTCGTGGAGATCATCAGCACTGCTAGCATCCATGCTTGCAGAACTTTTGGCAAGACTCGGATCATTGCATTTCCCTTTCAGGCTGCACGAGCCCTCTCTTTTGCTTATCCTCCAGGGAAGCCGAGGATGTGTCTGCCACCTGTATTCTCTGAGAGGTTTCTCTGGGTCAGAACTCATTTGTTTATTCATCTTCTTGCTCTTCATTTGGTGGTACCAATGATAGTCCTTCAAGGCAGCAGTGCCAGCATCTTGTTCCGACAACGATCTTCTGAAGGTCCTGGGAGAGAGACTATAGTGCTTTTTGAAAGCACTCATTTTCCACCCCTTGAATTTCAGCTCTTAACATACATTCCTTGTTGCTTAATAGGCATGTAGCTGTAGTTCCTCACTCACCATTTTAAAGCCCCAGTCACTTTGTTCACCGCTGTGAACTGCAAGACAGCAGAAGTTCTTCCTGAAGATCTTGAGCATCAATCCCAGAACCAGGTATTCCTACATCTCAGCAAGAAGGATGTGCCCTCACCTATAGCAAGCCGACTTCTAACGACACATGAAGCCTTGCTAAGCTTGCTGCCGCTTCCTGCGCTGTCACATTTCTGAACCAAGCTTTCAGGAAATGACTAAAAGAGCCCAGCCATGAAAACCCACAGTGGTGTTCTGCGCCAATCACACTTCACTTTTTTCAGTCTACATTAAAGATTTGGTTAAAAAAAAAAAAAAGAATGAGAAAGTACTTCACTCGAGTCACAGCAAAGTCTCAGAAAAGCATTAAAAAACTGCAATACTCAACTGAAAGTCATACACATTATGCTCTTCAGTTAGGTAGCAAAGTACATCGATGAGACAGAGTAATATGCAACATAAAGGCAATTCCTAGAGTTCATATTTACCACAAGTATGGAATACCTCACAGTTGCCTTTTAGAAGGAGGTAAAATAGGCAGATTCATCAGAACTGAGTGCTGGAAGCCCCAGAGAGGAAGGCAAAGGGGAGAAATGGAGTAAGGAGAAGAAACACTGCAACTTAAGGTAGTGAGAGTGTAAATACACTGAAGGGAATTAAGTAAAGGGGAGGAGAAAAGGGACAGAGGGTGGGTGGGACTTCACCAAACATAGATCAAAGCAAAGGGAAGGTTTTGAGGCTTCCCTCCCCCCCCCCCCCCCCCCTTTTTTTTTTAAACAACAGAATAGGGTTTTATTTTTATAAATCTAGTTGGAATAAGCGAGATGGAAAAAATAGCCCTATCTGTTTAACCAAGGAAAAAAAACCCCTTGCCTTCTCTACAATTTAAGAAACAGCTGACTATTTTAAAATCTCATAAAGAAAATATCTGCTGGTGAACTCAGATCATGCTTGCCAAGTTTTAGACCAGAACACTTAAATCTCAAGTCTACTCAAATCCCTGAAAATAGGGGGTTTATAATGGAAACGCTGACAGACCCTTGGCAATCAAGTGACAATGAAAACTACTTCTCTGGTTAAATAAAATGATAATCTGGTCTGGCAGACCAATAAAGCTTAACTGACCCACTATGGGATCTCGCTTTTAAGCTAGGCTGCATTCATCAGCCAAAGTACATTCCTGACAGTTGCAGATGCAAAAACTTCCCTACCTATGCGTATATATAGAAAAGGGCATCGCTGCTCCCTAGAACAGGGATGGAGTTCCTATAAGATCCCCAACATGCAGAGAAATAATTTCCTTATTCAATAGCAAGTTACACTCTTCAATCAGAAGCAACTATCTAAAGTTGCCATGTTCAAGAAGTTACAACAAATAACCTCAGATGCAAGAACAGCTCAGACATTACAATGCAAATTCTACATCAAAAATAATGATGCTGACTCTTGTGCTTTGTAGGAAGTCACGTTGCTCAGAGCACGACTCTTAAATGACAAAATGTATCCAAACAAGAACTCTGCCACAATTTCCATCCAGAGCAATGATCTCCTCGAGGAGACATGAGGACCAGTGAATATGTGCAAAGACGCAAGTACTCCCATCGTGAAAATTAGAGAATTCACCCAGAAAAAGTAAACTGGCTCTCGCCTTCCGTTTCTTGATTGCAAGTGTTGCTGCTCACCCTTTGGTGCAGCCTACCTGGTCCAATGGACTTGCATGGGTTCAGTTCTTATAAGGAATTCCTGACTTGACCCTCATCCACCGCTGGTATTTTTTTTCCTTCTTCATCCCTTTCACCAAGCACAGAGGCCTGAGAGTCCCTGTTTCTGAAGGCTGAGGCAAACACAGCACTGAGGACCCCAACTGTAACTGGGTCTGCTGTTAACTAGATCACCCACCCCTTTCAGCAACAGGTCCTCGTTTTCCTTCTTGAGCCTTTTACTACTAAAGTAGCAATAGTGCTTTGAACAAATGCTTTGAATTAGCTAGTCTGGTAAAGTACGCTTTATGTAACTTCAGAAATAAGCATAAATAAGTATGACAGATGATGATGTGGTTCACTCTAATGGTACAAGCCATAATAAGCAGAGAAAACTGAGAATGTGAGGTAGGTTTCTGGTCAGCTCTGCAAGCTTTGCGTGTACAAGTTTCCGCTAGCACATCTACATCTACTTTTGGTTTGGGAGCACAGAAGGGCAGGAGAGGACAGAAGACAGAAACAGACAGTGCAGTAGCTGAAGTTCTCCTGGGATTTGCTTGCTGTAGATTTCTAACACATTTTCTAACTCTTCTTGAAACATAACAACCAAGCTGAGTGCTCATACAAACCATGTTTTGAAACAGCGTTTTGAAAGCAATTATCTGCTGTATCAGAGGACTTGGTATGACCAACAGGAATGACTCAACTCAGATAACATGACACTGTCTGTGTCAGTGTTATTCTGAAGCAGGGATTTAGCACAACAGCACTTTAAACGGAATGAAACTTTAGGTGAGACACTGGTCTTTGCATGAGGACAGAGACGATCACCAGGACTGCTCTCACCCTAGCTCTCTTTTTCACCACCATCCTGTGGACACCTGACTGTATGGAAAGATCATTTCATCTGCTTCCCAGCGCAGCTTGCGTTACATCAGTCGCTGACTTCCACAGACCACCCGTTCCAGCAAGGGAATGCATAGGAAGATTAACCATGTATCAAGTTAGAACAAAACAAATTATGGGTTAACTTCTACTTAAAAATATTTTTATTGGTGTGGCCAGAGGTTGGACCACAGTCCTGTGCAGAACTAACAATACAGAAGAAGACAGGCTTCAATAAGCGCTCAACATGAAGCCAAGGAACATCAAAGTCACAGTTTAGTTTAAGTTTGAATAATGTTAAGAGGGGTCTTTACTTTTGACTTCCAATTTGACTTTTGATTTCATGTTACCACTGCTCAGACAAATGCCTTTCATGATCAAAGAAAACAGTTATCCAGCTGCCTTCACTGAGATTTCACAGTGTGTAGAGGGCAAAATGGTATTTCTCAAAGTGCTTTCTAAAAAGGCATACAAGGCCTACATGTTTGTTGACATAAAATCACTGATACACAAGTTTGCTTAGTCTACAAATAAGGCAATTCTTTTAAATTGCTCGCTCAAAAATTTTAGCCTGGGCTTTGAGTCAAACCGGACTCTCTCTCCCTTACACACATCATCAGTAGCAGGGATGATGGCCAAACAAACCCTTCGTCTATACTAATCCAATGCCACCGAGTTAAAATTGGTCTCAGTTGGCTCCAGCATTTCTTGTGTACGTATAACATGCAAGAAAGTAATTCATGGAGCAGAACTTTCTCCTTGATCCGCAGTCCAGTTCCTCATGTGAAAACTCAAGGCGTTTTGGAGCAGAAGTTTATCTTGGAAAGCATTTACACGGTCTCACTATCACAAAGAAATCAGCTTACAGCAGTGACTGCTAACATATTGATTCAAACCGTACAGAGCCACCCACTCAGCTGTCAGCAGGTAAAATAATTCCAGCAGAAGAAAGGAGCTTGTCAATTAACTTGAGAAAATCTGGAATATTTTCACTTATACCTCCTGTTTTTAATACCAACTGCATAAAAACGTGATCCTCAGCTAGCAAATTTTCCTCAGAAGAAAATTTTTTTGGTAACATTTGCAGTTCATTGTGCCAAATCATTCATTTAGCTTTTTCAGAAAATTACTATTTTCTTCCTCACAATCCAGTCATTTAATCATCCAATTTGACATGTTTAACAGCATATATTTCAGTACTCCTAGATATTTAAGTAATTTATGCACAAAATGCAGATTTGCTATGTTGGAATATAACTGTATTTCAGCTTTAGGATTATATTGGGAAAACAATCTTTCTTAACTTTATAACAACATTTCACAGAAAATGTACACAAGCAGCATTACATTTTCACCGACCATATGAAGATAATTCTTTGGCAACAGCCTCCTGTGTGGGCAGTCCGCTCTCTACCATTCAGCTTTCCAAAAAAACCTACCCAGCTCTGCTGCAGGAAGCTTCAGAAATTCCTCAGAGTATCTGTTGTTTAATAGATACTATCAGCCAATTAAAAAAAAAAAAAAAAAAAAAAAAGAAAAAAAGCACACCACCACAAAGACCCAAATGCATCATTGCCAAGCAGCTGGAGGGAGAACCCCTCTCTGATGATAAAAATTAATGTTTAATGCTCACTCGCTCTCTGAAAGCTGTTTAGTGCTTGAGTAAAGGCACTACAATGTGTAAAATTGTAGTTCATCTTTAACATCGCTTATATTCAGAAAAAGATGAATTGAAACCTCCCATGACTGAACTACTCCATTTTAAATTAGTTTTGGACCAAGCAAAAACTTACCAGCTTCTCATTTTTTAAAACATTTGCCATGGAGGAGGAAAGGGAAAAAGAAGTTTAAAACAAACAAACAAACAAACAAACCACCACCAAAACCCGCACAACCATCCAAACCCATGACAAATCCTGAACATTTCTTCACCACACTTGGGTTTTCAACCAAGTCCTCTCTTCTAAATCATAAAGGCTAAGAAAACAGCACTTCCGAGAAGATCCCAGATTAAGTTGCCAACTACCAGCCATCAAATGAGTCCTTTAACATGTAGAAAAGTGAAACAGATTGCACCCTGCATCTTCCCCAAACCAGAACGGATGCAGTCAGGCAGGGATCCTCAATTTTGCAGTCTAGCTCCCCTTAGCAAATATCCCCTTCAAAACTAGCCCAATGCTCACCACACTGGAACAGTTCATGGAGGAGTAATCAATATATAAAGCAGAAAACATCACAAAAGTCCTCCTATTGACCCAACTTGACATGTGGCTAAATAGCACAGAAGATGAAAGATTTTTCCTTCCCTTTAAATTAGAGACTTTTCAA